ACATGGACTTGTATATAGATCCACCGTTGACTCTCTGGTTCTACATTTGCTTCTCTATGACTTGTTCCTCCCAAATATATAACAAGAGGCCCCTGGGCCTTATCGGTCACCTGAGCATTATTCAACAACTTCCCAGTGACTATATATGTTTTAAGCCAGATGCTATAGCATTTACAATTTGGTCATCATAACTATACACTTAGCAGTTCCTTAGTTTGGTTACTTTATACCGATAGGCAGGGTAGGGGAACAAAAAATGCATTTCAACTAATCAGTAATATTCAGCAATAATCAGTAGTGCCGCTACCACACATGAACCCTTGACCCTTAGGCCTAGATCCACACATTGCACTATTTTTGGAAAGGAATACTTGCTTTCAAAAATATTTGATTAATACTAAGGAGCACATTTCAAACAATTCATTCATTTTCAGTACATAAGTTCAGCCTCCTCCCCTCCCCCCCCCCCCACTATGGTACAACTGACCCTGGGGCCTTGAAATTTACAATTCTTGAAGATTAGGGATTGCTCATAACTATATAGGTATTTCATCTGCTTAAAACCCAGAAGCAATGTAGGAAATATTCAAAGATTTAATGTTTTTTCACTATACATGTATAATCAATACAGCCCCGCCCTAACACCAGAATACCTGACCCTGGGGCCATAAAATTCACAATTTTGGCAGAGGCACTTTTGCTGATCATAACTATGTACTTAGTTAGTTTATTTAATACCCAGGAGTAAAGAAAAAGATTTTCAAAGAATTCATGTATTTCCTCTATATAATCAATAGAGCCCCACCCTGACACCAGAACCCCTGACCCTGGGGCCATAAAATTCACAATTTTGGTAGTGGCACTCTTGCTCATCATAACTATGTACTTAGTTAGTTTATATAAAACCTAGGAGCAGAGAAGAAGATTTTCAAAGAATTCATGTATTTTCACTATATAATCAATAGAGCCATGCCCTAAAACCAGAACCCCTGACCCTGGGGCCATAAAATTAACAATTTTGGTAGAGGCACTCTTGCTCATCATAACTATGGACTTCGTTAAATTATATAAAATCTAGGAGCAGAGAAGAAGATTTTCAAAGAATTCATGTATTTTCACTACATAATCAATAGAGCCCCGCCCTAACACCAGAACCCCTGACCCTGGGGCCATAAAATTCACAATTTTGGTAGAGACACTCTTGCTCATCATAACTATGTTCTTAGTTAGTTTATTTAATACCCAGGAGTAAAGAAGAAGATTTTCAAAGAATTCATGTATTTCCTCTATATAATCAATAGAGCCCCGCCCTGACACCAGAACCCCTGACCCTGGGGCCATACAATCTACAATTTTGGTAGAGGCACTCTTGCTCATTATAACTATGTACTTAGTTAGTTTATTTAATACCCAGGAGCAGAGAAGAAGATTTTCAAAGAAATAATGCATTTTCACTATATGCTTATTTAGCCCCGCCCTAGTACAAGAACCCCTGACCCCAGGGCCATGAATTTCACAATTTTGGTAGAGAACTCATTGCTTATTACAATCATGCAAACAGTTTGACTGCTTGATGTCCAGGAGTAAAGTAGAAGATTTTTGAAGATTGCATCAATTTTAGTGGTTTTGGCCCCACCCCCCAGGCCCCAGGGGGGCAGGGATAATGAAATTCACAATGTTTGTTCCCCTGCACCCATAGGTGCTTTGTGCCAAATTTGGTTGAAATTGGTTCAGTGGTTGCAGAGAAGAAGCTGAAAATGTTCAAAAGTTTACGACCGATTGACGACGAACGACGAACGACGTACAACGAACGACGGACGACGACGGACAAAAACAGATAGCAATAGGTCACCTGAGTGACTCAGGTGACCTAATAAAGCCCGCGTCTGTAACAACGCTAAATATAGAGAGTGATGCTATATGCAAGACGAAATACGTACGCGAGTTAATTTGCTGCGTTATCATACCACAAAATTTACACACGGGAAAATTCATATGAGCAAATCAGTTCATACGACAAAAATTGTATATGTAAATAAATTTAAACATGCAAAAGTTTATTTTAAACATAGTCCTGAGCAAGTGCAAAATTTCCCAACTTTGCAGAATTTGCATGTGAGCAAATCAGTTCTTACGATAAAAATTGCACATGTATGTGAATTTATATTTGTGTAAAATATACTGAGGTATATGCAAATCGCATCGTATGAATGTGCTATAGGTAGATTACTCTCGGCAATGATTCGACCTCTCAAACATGGAGCGATCTATTTACCAAAAGAAGGCACCATGGCGGTCGGCTCTAATAACAAAGAAGTTCGGTATATATATAATTATAACATTTTGAAGGTAATAGAAAAGTAAGACAATTAGTAAACATAAAAGCATTGAGAACGTTACTTAAAAGACGCTGTCGTTAAAGAGACTCACATTAAATCCTTTGGTAAAATACTCGATCATTTGAAAGTAAACTCAAAAATTAGTCATTCAAGTGTATGTCAGATGCAGAAATATGATATAAATTTTGCCTTTTTGAAAAGTTAAGAGGCCGGTTCAATTCTTTCAAACCGGTCACGGTAGCCTAGTGGTAGATCGTTCATTTCGTGATCGGGAGGCCGGGGTTCGATTCTCGATCGCGGCGCCGCGTCACACCTAAGACGTAAACAAAGGTAGTGACTGTTCCTTCGCCAAGCGCTCGGCACTAGAAGTGAAAGTCACTATCGGATATGACCTTAAAAACGTAGGTCCCGTGTGACGTCACTGCTCAATGGCCCTGAGTGTCTAAATTTGAAGAACATTTAAACATGAAAAACAGTTAAACAATATAAACACACAATCAATTCTTTCAATTCCAAAAACATGTGGCCTCCACACTTATCTGACTTAAGCCCCTTGATTTATATCTGTTGGAACATTTAAACATAACAGTTTATAAAACACACCCCAGCAACAGCACATGATCTCAAAATGGTCCACAAATTAAGACCAGACTCATTACACAGATATTTTAATTGCACTAGTAATAAGAAATGTTATATTTGTTCAGCAAAAATGAAATCGTTTAGCATATATGTTGTGACAATGTAAAATTTTATTATTTTTTTCCCTTTTATAACAACTTAAACGGTGATATTCTTAAAGGATTTTGAGCATAAATAAGACTTTATGTTTTTTCTGAATGTTGGATTCATAAAGATGTATAAGTTACAAATTCACACTAAATAATACCCCGCCTACCAAATGACTATAATCATGACAGAGTGCATGTTTTGTTCTTGGAATCGCTCATCATCAGAAGTTACATGTATACTCTCAGTAGGTCATATCATTTTCAAATACATTTGGTTAACGTTACCCATTTTTTAAACGTGATTTCACTTTCATGACTTAAAACTCATAAAATGCAAATTCTTATGAAAACAGTAGCACAATTTAGAAACTACTTGACATGTAAAAATAAATATTCACTTTCAAAACATTTCAATTTAAGTTTCCTTTCAGGATATTGAACTACACTAAATTTAACGCAGTTTGGGGTATACACTGTAGTACATTATATCAATTAATATTAAAATCCTGTGATCATAATATTTAGTTATACTTTACAAAAATAAAGGTATAGTTCAATTGGGTATGAATTTAAATTAATAACGGTTTTGCAAAAACGTATGACGTCATAGGAGGATGGAAATACCTTAAATCGTTGTATATGATAAGAAAATTGGAAGAGAGAAAAAAATAGCTTGATTAATTTATGCATTTCATATAAAACTGTTACATGCACGTCAAACGTACGAGTTTTTGTGAATAAGTAACCAAAATCATAAGGAAAAGTCTGACGCGAATAATATTAATCGTGAGATTTTTTGTGAATATATGTCTGTTGTAGATACTTAATAATAACTGGTCTCCCTAACACGTGTTTTAATAAGTAAAATAACACTTTGCATTTATGAAACCTTTCATCTATAAATATGAAAATGAGATTACGTTCAAAGCAAATTTCGAATCATAAATAAAAAAAAATTAAAATTAAAATAAAATAACAAGAAAACAAATTGATTTTTTCGAAAAAAAAAAAAAAAAAGGTAAATTTCCTTCCTTTCACTCATCCGAGCGCCAATCAACCGGTTTATTTGTCATGCATAATTAACATGCGAATTTATCAGCTATATGCTGGAGGTCATCCATAGAAAAATTATCAATTAAAATCTGCAAAATACAATGTAAAATATTGAGCATACATATCATGAATATACATCGTTTTATTAGTAAATCAAAATAAACGTGTTTGAAACTGGCTCGTTGATGACCACTTCACGTCTGACCAAAATCTTATATACTTTTACCTTACAACTACATTCTATTTTATTTTGCGAGTACAGAAATAGTGCAAACAATGCAACTTGTAGATTTTGATGTATATTACAAAAGTGAAGCGTTAAATTCATACCAAAAATATAGTGCGTTTACAATAAAATAGCATTGTAACCACGTTAACACCAGTAAAGTGATAAAAATCACAGATAATATGTTTCAAATTCTAGGGAACATAATTTCCAATAATTTTGATTAAAGTTTCAAATATTTATGTATATTTTCTGTTAAAATTCCAACGACCTATATTAAATGTCGGAAGAGCTAATATTGATATTTGTTGATTGTTCCTCTCTGTAGAGAATGGATACACTTTTTCTTAAATGAATATAACAATTATTGATATCACATGTACACGTAGGAATAGGAGGAATGGTAACTTTTAAAAAAATGGAAATGGCTGGAAGAAACCATTACTAAGTAGAGCTATTCAATTATTTCAGTAGCTTACAACTACGTTTATTTAAACATGGAAGGTGACAATGAATATTAATTGTGCGTAATTCAGACAGTACTTTTCTTTTTTAGGTATAGATTGTAAAGGGGAAAATCTTTCTTTTTTTAAAAAATGCCGACTTTCCGGGAATAAAAAAATACGTTATATTCCTTTTCGTCTATAGACATTCTCATTAATATTCATGACGTACCCAAGAGTTGCGACTTGTTCATGTGGATACATTTGTGAAGCCACGGTAAGTCGTTTTGAAATAATAGCTAACTTTTTGTGTGCTTTTTTAACATTGAAATATAAATGGAGGCATAAATATGTAATTAATAAAAGCAGATGAGGGATAAGAATAATCTAAAACTATATCTTTTAGTAAATGAGACCGAAGTACAACTTCAACTTGATTTGCTTGTAAACAAGACTTGAAAACGAAAGTAGCATATCATATGCGTCTGTGACAAGTCGCCATAAAATAATCGTATCTCCACTTAGCATCAATTTGATTTCAGACTTTTAATGATTAGTCTGTCGTTCATCGTCTTCGAGAATAAATACAAAATAATTTACCCTAGATTATGAAAAAAATTGAAAGTCCTTGGGCTTGCATTTTTAAACGAAATGTTTAATTCTAATTGAAAATGAACAGGTAACCTTGCTTCTAAAATATATTTATGGAAGCCTGACATGGCGGTACTCTGTTTGACATAAATGAGAACAAAAGTTTGAATGTTAATGGTCATTCATTTACAAGCAACCAAAATATATCAAGGGAGAGTATAATTGACTTTACCAAACTTAATACAATTATTCACACAAGACTAAAATATAAGTTCAGGGTTCTTATACTAGTTAGTTCCCTATGTATTTAAGTGACATAAACATATATCGTGTGTATTACCTTGTCACACTCTATTAAATTCAAATTTCAAGGACATTGTGCATGTCTAAAACCGTTACATAATTACATTGTAAGATTTTGTGTAACCTGCTGCGTGCATTTAACAGACAATGTTTTGTTATTTTAAATAAAATAAAATATTTTAAATTTTCTAAAATAAATTGAACGAAAGAGGTAAACATATTAGTAACATACGTTTTTTTAATCAATGCTATAGAGCAGACGAAATTTATTTGAATTGCAGCAATATAATCAATATATCCAGAATATTTACATCCAGGGTGTTTAAATTCAATACATCCGGCTTTTTTTCTTTGCATTGTATTTCATGCATTAACAATCCTATTTCCTATGCCTGTTTTCTGATGCACTGCATTAAAATTGAAGATTGCATAATAGTTCGTTTTAACTGTTAAATCAATATTTCTTTTTAAATCCAAGTCATCAATTTGCATTACTTGATGTAGGTTTATTTCATATTGTTTCTTCTTTGAAACACCCTCTGGATAAAATTATGCAAGTCTTTCATTATTCCAACTTATCATTACTTGACGTAAATTTTTCTTTTCGCGATGTCAACTTCTTTTTACAAGAAAAACGAATATCAACATTGTTTAGGCGAAATAAATAATTTCTTCCATTGTTTTAACAATGCTATCTTTGGGTAAAATTAGAATACTTTAACATTGTGCCAAACTTTATTAGCTGAACTAAGTGGTTATTTAAATTCATTTCATATTTCTTTTTTGCGTCAAAACTACTTTACGTAAAAATATGTTTTTTTGTGTATATTCTATATTTAAATCATTGCTTCAGGTCGGTGTGTTTACCTTTGTATATTAACGTGATGTGAATATATCCTTCTTCTACGCCAAAGGAATAACGATGTAAGGTAAATATTCATAACTTTATAATGTTTGAAATATTAATATTGTTTGAAAAGATCTTTTTACTATATCAACACTTCTTGAAATGATTAGATTCCAGTCAATGATAAGAATATATAGATGTGAAGTCTTATTACGTTAGTGCCAAATGTGAATAACATAAATTTAAAATATTTTTACATCTGATTGATTGAGAAACTTCATATAGAAACGTCACTGCATGCTGCTCATAAACAGAAGTAACAGTAATTTCTTAATTTTGGTGTTTTCTTTTCATACTTTTTTAATATTGTTATCCGATTACTGAGATATTATTTCGATTTTGGATATATACACATATACTTTTTATGTTAATATTTTTCAGCCCACAACGATTGAATGACACAATGACATAATTCCACCAAACTTATTTTAATTCTACGCTGGTCAAGGCTATTTCCATTGTGTGATATTATTTATTCCTGTTTGCAACAATTACACGGAAATAAAACATTATTTATTCATACCATCTTTTTTGTAATTAAAAACTTTCGGGAAAATAAAAAAGGGTTTTATGTAATAATAAGTAAAATTGTCAAGGGAACATGAAGTTTAGTCGTATAAAAATTGAATTTATATTGTAGATGTTGCATGGATAAAAAATACATATATACGAGGTTGAACCAAAAGTAATGTCACAACTTTGATAAAATTGCTATAAATCGACGTAAAGAATATAATAACACATCATGGGAGGTTTATTTATTTCAAATCAGACCTGAAAAACTCAAAGGAATATTATGTATACTTTACCAAATATCGGATTTGAAACAATGTGCGTTTATGGTAGTCACCGCACCTAAATATAACGTCACATGACGGATATGCATTGTCATACTTTTGAGCATTTCCCATTCGTTTCATTAAAAATATTCGTGATTCGCAAACATTTTCACCAATACAACTTTCTTTAAGAATCCTTGGTACCATTATACACTCACTCTTTTTTTTATAATTAAGCCCTCTATCCAAATTTTTTTAACAGCTGCAGCTCAAAACAAACTTAAAAATTCACATGTCACTATTATAACCAGTTAGAGTTTGGTCATAAGTTGTAAATTAATTCCTGAACTATATCCGTTTTAGAGGGTAAACGGGGAAGAAGGAATGTTGGCGAGTCTAACAAAGTAGTGGCGCTGTTGGGCCGTAATGAAACGTAAAAGGTATACGTTCCGTATTCCTTATGGTCTTCCAATATAAAGTCCAAGAATTGGTAAATCAGGTTTCCGAATTTATTAAAGACAAACATGAATTTTAACAATATCTTACGAGACTTAATCGAGTTGGATGTGGCCGGTAGAGCGTCGGGGCTCCAAACTGAAGAGATTAAAATGGACATAGATATTTGTAAGATTAAGAGTAAACAATACTAGTAATTGACTTTTCACACTAGCTGAGTTAATTGATGGACAGGTGTGTTTCTTTGATAGAATGAACATGAAAGAGGTTATAATTGGAATGTCTTACTCCTATTTCAAAGGGATTGAGATAAATAAGACACACTTTACTACAAATAAGCACTATTAAAAACAGATAAAGAATTTCACAGATAAACGTCCGAAATTAGTATAGAATATATAAAAAGTTATTTTAATTCAAAAATGTTAATTTTGCTCGGTAATACTATAAACACCTGTCTTTTTTGACAACGTCAGACACCGTTGAACGTTTCCGTCCGATCTCCTATCTTTCGGTCTTCTTGTCCTCTGCTGATCATTCAGTGACCAATCAGCCGCCCAAAATTGCTGAAATCATCTATTAAGATGTCTCTTATTTACATTCTTTATTCTATAAGTCTGATTAATTAACGTAACTGTCGCTTGTGATGATTCCCATATTTTGAAGCAAAAATGAATTCGTAGAGCCGGTTTTTCCCATTTCGACAATCCCTTTGTTCAATTCAACGGAGTAAACGACAATGTTTATGATCACAAATACCAATACCTTCGTTTAATTTTCAATTGACAAGAATTGTGTCTTTTAAAAAATTGGGAGATTAGGTGCTTTTTTTAGAATCTGTTTAATGTGTTTGGGTTTTTTTCATTCTAAGAAAAAATACACTTTAAAACGTGACATCCCTTTTTGACGCGGCGACACCCCCTATGCTTTATGCTTTAAACATCAATAAAATAAATTCAAATGACCATTATTAAATCAAAATTTCAATGTTTATTAGATTTATATTCGTGCATCTTTTGGTATATTTATGTGATGAAACTTTTTACCCACACACAGAGACGTAAGCGTAGTTATTGGCATTGGTCTTATAATAAACTTGTAATACATTATTTGATTCATTACTACCTTATGTTTATCCATAATTAGGTCTACAGCATATGCGCACCTGCACAAATGACCTTGAAGTAAACGCAAAATGAAATGCATTCTTTTTTGAACTGGAAATCAAGGAAAAATGATGCCAATAGGCCGGCTTTCATCAGTAAAATTCGTCCACTGACTTGTTTACATCTCTCATACTAAAGAGCTCAGAATATTTAGATTTAAAATGAGAATTAGTTTATAATTCATACATTTTTCATAGCCATGAATATAATACCAATTTTTAGTTCACCTGTGTCAAATACTTATGCGAGCTTCTCTGATCGAAATGTGTCATATTTTCTTCGTAGTCAAAGTTTTTTTAGTAAACTTATTTTATTTTCAACTTCTCAGCTAGAACTAATTATAATGCACAATATGGAGATAACCAATAGTATTCAAGATTTAAAAAAAATCCATTTATAAATAAATAATATTAATTTTGGAGCAGAGCAGGCATGGTCCTCTTACCCATTAGATTTGGAACAAAATGCCATACATGGAAGAGTAAGCATCCCTTGCGGACCCTTCACACCCGCCTTGCTCCTTGTCATGTTCGGGAATTAACGGGAAAATCTGTCGACAATTCATTGTGTAAATAAAGGCCTAACAATTTGTATGAAAACGTGTCATCATATATCTTAAAGGTAGATTGTTTTTGATTGAATATCATTGTATCCACCATAGAACATACGAAATGATGACTTGAAACGAGATTACTGACCTTGTTGCAGCAACTGGTTTGTCAGTTATTTACTTTTTTAAAGAAATTGTTTATACTTTTTACATGCTCTTGAGTATATCGACTTACATGTAACTGAGAGATTTATTTTCAAGCCCACTGACATATGTCGCATCGAAATAAGAATGGAAATAACCATTATTAATGAACAATACATCATCGTTATATCTTACTTGTAATGTCCAGTTGAAGGCCAAAGCAAGTGTTTTCTTCTTTTCACGTATAAGATTTTGAAAAAAATTCTGCTTCATATGAATAAAACATAGGTCTTCTCATAACGGGGTGCAATTAGTACCCATGGGTAATCCAATAGACTGTTGGAAAATCTGGTCTTCCAAAAATAATATAGATATTGTAAATCAAAAAATCAAGCATCCTTTTATTATCACTTTTTGTAAAAATTGTCACACGGGATTCTTTCGGTGATGGCTTTCTTTTAAAAGAATAGAATTATTAAGAATATGAAAAAATTTCAATTCATCTTTCAGAACGCCTCTCCAAAACCTCTTGACCAGAGAAATGTGGAAGCTTCAACATATACTGTTTTTCAGGTTCGTTCAAATCATGACCTCAGGACAAGACCACTATATGCGATCTATGATTTATATAGGAAATTTTCTCGAGATTCTCCCTTTCAGAAAAAAAAACGCTGTTAAGACATTATTTAAGAGAAATTTATATGGAAACATTCGCATGTAGTGTAGATGCAAAATTGTTCAATTCATGACCCAATGGGTGAGGACGGGTCCCAATGGAAGATTAAATTTTTGTTTATGTGTAGGAGAACTTTTTCTTCAAAAGTAGAAAACCAATAGTAGGATATATTATATACGGGGTAGTCGAAGTTAATTAGTTGTACCAACCACATTTTCTTTACATTTAAACCCGGATACTTAGCGTCTTAAGATATCTTAAATGTTTTTCTCAGCCCCGTCAAATTAGAAATAACAGGTTTTGATTGTATAGAAAAAGCTTTTCAAAAACTAACCAGAAGAACTGCAGAGCTGTGATTAGTCACCACAGGTAGAGAAAATTCAAATTAAGATAAAATTACTTTGAGGCATGTTGAGGACACAAAGGGCTTTAAACAAAAATATATCTTTTCGGCTTCTAACCAATAATTAATGAATAGAATTTTAAAAAAGAATTAAGACGAACTTAATATTATCAATTATGCTTCGAGAAAGACCGATGCCTAAAACATAGCTGAATTGTTAAAAGGAATCAGGAGAATGTTTTACTTCCAAAGTTTTGGTTACATTGCATATATTTACTGATTGATTGGATAAAAATAAAAAAAAAATATCTGAAAGTCTTTGTCAGAGTATATGAGTAATATAAGTTGATATAGATATTAAGAGATTGATATTTGAATGTAAATAGACGGCAAGAGTAGATGAATGATGCGACACCTAAGTCTTTACATTTTGAGACTTTTTGAGTAGATTGTAAGCACTATGTCGTATGTTAAATTGTTTAAGTAAATACATGTGATCCCTTTTCGATGTTCGTATCGGGGAATTTCTACATCGCTGCTATCATTTCAAATTTAAAAGGACGATATTAAATTAGCTTAAGATTATTGATAATACATCAGTTTGTAAGATATAATGCATAAGTAATATGATCATCTTGATCTTATGGAGGCCTAAATCATGGTATTTTTTTTCCTATTCGGCATTGGTATTAAATATTTAATTTTTATACCAAATACATGTATACTGACAGTTCTGTATAACTGTTTACTCGTTTAATGAATATATGTTTGGTTCCAAAACAATCATTTTTTTGTCATTCAAATATGTTTTTAATTTTGTCTTAATTTTCTTCAGAAAAAAAACTAAATTCTTAAGATTTTTTTTCAAATAAAATTTCTTATAAATAGTCTTCATTTAAGTTGGAAAACATTAGCAGGAAGAATTGCCAAATCCAATGGCATCTCTTCATAACATTGTTTACAAATTTAGCAAGATTGGAAATGGTCTACAAGTTCTGGATGAGCAGTTGAAAATTGTGAAAAGTTTAATACAAACACCATGAATGCGACAGAAGAAATAAACTTGTTCTTACATTGCATTAAATGCGTGTGTACATTACATGTAGCACATAAAATAAAAAACAAGCACATATTTAAATAAATCATACAGCTTTTTAATATTATTTTAGGAAAATCTCATGTTAGTTTCAATGCACTTTATTTAGATTCAATAATCAATATGCGATAAAGCAGTCACACAATAGTGTGTTTTGTTTTGAAACTTTAAAATGTCTGAATGAACGTATAAAGAATAACTTTATTCTTTGCTGTTTGGCATTTGATAGGGTTTTTAAAGGTAAAAATATAAACTAAATATGATAACTGCTTAAATTTTCTCTATACATTTTGCTTTACTGCTTTATATTCGTACAATTAAATTTCATTTGTTAACAAATAGATATGCACAACTGTGCTTAGTGTGATTTGCTATCTATTCTGTTTAGGGACTGCCTGTCTTTTGTGTAGGAAAACTGAGGTGAACATTTATTAGGAAAAAAATATACTGAAATAAACATTCATTAGTAAAGAGTGACATCAGAAAGGAAAATATAATGGCCAGAAATTGGTGAGTTAATAAATATTTTACTGCTATCACGATTTTTGATGTTCTGATATATATTAAAAAAAAATACATTGCCGTCTTTTTTCTATATATATAGTTTACATTGCCATCTTTTTTTTCTTTAAAGAGAGAAGACTGGAGACATGAATCAACAAAATATCTTAATTTGGATTATTTGTTGCCACATTGTTCACAGTATAGCTGGTATGTGGTGTATTGATTTTTTTTACGCATTTGGTTTCGGAATTCTTTATACGCAGTAGTTTTGTAACGTTCTTTCTCGCTTGATGTAAATAGCTTTAATTTGGAAATGTTTATACCATGCACTGTTAGTTACGAAGAGATTGGTGTTTGTTATTTCTGGTTTTTCCAAAGTAACCCAAGCATTTACCTTAAAAGTAGTATGAGTGTGAGTAACGGAAAATAAATGCTTTTAGTATCAGTGGATACACATATGTACAAAGAACTCTTGATTATAAAATAAATATAAAGAGTGTCCTCTAGTGATTGTCAAACTAAGGGAGGTAACTCGGTGTATTTTTTCTTTAAAAATCTAGTCCTTATATTGATTTACATAAACAAGACAAAGATGGCCAAAAATTATTAAAACGATTTTTTTTTTATTATTATTATTTTTATTTTTTAAACACAAATCATTTTAAATCTTTGTTACAGAATTGTGTATTTTTACATATACATGTAAGAGAGAGAGAGAGAGAAAGTTACAAAAAAAGTTGATTCCACCTGTTCTACTGAGTGTCAAAGTTTTCTTTTTCACCATTTTTAAATGATATATATTTTTATGTTTGGTACAATTGATCTAATTGTGATTTCGCCGAGGGGACATTCAGAAGTTCTTCGGTACATCTAGAAGTATAAATATAATATTTTAGCCATAAAATCATGATATTTGCCATTTTATTAATTTTTCCTTCAATGCTTAAAATAAAAAAAATTCTATAATACATAGTGTAAAAGACATTTGCTTTCATTAAAAGACACCACAAATCACTCTCATTTTATATCATGCTAATTTAATAAGCATTTGTATCTAAGGCTTGATTCAAGAAAATCTTATTTGTCTAAAACTGTTTTTTTTTCCTTTTATAGGGTACAAATGTCGATATTTATAAGGCTTTAATAAGACCTTTTCTAAGACTTCAAAAAACCTTGAATCTTATAAAGATGAATAAAATGAAAATTTTTGCATGGAAAAATTTTATTTTCAGGCTTCATTTTGATGCATTTTAAATTAAATATTAATTTTTAGAGTTATTCTTCCTGGCTGAGGATCGAATATCCTTAACAAAGTCTTTGTTACATACTACATTGTTCATTTCCTATTGGATAGGACACTTATATCGCCTTTCCCATAGCAAAACATGAACACCATCATTTTTTGATAATATTATATTGATATTGATATTTCTATATTATTGAAGGATACTGTAAAATCACATATTTTCGAGGGGTCAAATTTTCATGATTTTAAGAAAATATATTTGTTCATGGGGATTTGATTTCGTGGTTGAAGAATTTACCAATAGTAATATATGTGAAAAATTGCATTTCGTGGTGGACATAAATTCGTGGGTCTCTCCGAAAAAAGTCAGAAATATTTGTATAAATGTTGTTATTTTTAAACCTTTTCTTTTTTGCGTAGATGCTCAAGTAGCAGATTGAAATATTGAATTTGAATGTTTATGTCCAGTATCGATATAAAAACTATCAATGTATTTAAGTTTCTGCATGCCATTTTCAATCAACTGGAAGATGTTTTGTAGAGTATAAATGCTCTGAAAAAAATGAGAGAAATCCTTTCCTAATAAGGAAGATATGAAGCTTTGAAGTTAGCGTTTAGGAAAAAGTAGAATAATAGGAATTATCTTGTTCAACAAAATTAATAGACACTGAAGACCTTTATAGACTTTAAAAAAGGAATTTAATTTAGCCAACTTGGTCCGAAGGAACAAATTTAACCAAACTTATTTTTTACCGCAAGTCATTCCTTGAAAAAGGGAAAAAATGTCTCTTTAAAAAAAGGGGACATGCTCTCTTGAAAGGAGAGATGAAAGGCAAAGTCAAAAATTGGTGCGGAGTGGTCTAGCTTGAATGACCATGAAAAATCCATTGTACCAAACAACATAGAAGACATGCATGCAGTCTATGATAAACAAAGCCAAATGAACATACTGACTACCTTTTTTACAAGTTTGTCAATGCATTTATTTTTTTTCCATAAGGTAACAGATTCAAATAGCCTTATGCTTTATTATTAGATATTTTGGGCAGGGATTAAAGTGCCCCAGAAGTTAAATTGCTTTATGACATCAATAGTTACACAAAAGTGCATATTGTACATGTTTAATATTACTGACATTTTAAAAGTTTGACCTTCCTATGAATGTAAGTTATTGTGTAATATATACAACTACTTGAAATCAAATTTGAATTATCATATTATATCATGTTTAGTTTCGAAGAGGGATGGAATGGATGCATACTTATGAAAAAATGCAAAGTTTCGTGTTTCTATTTTTTAAAACCTCCAAAAGTAATGGTAATGCATTACTTTATTAAAGTAATGGTAATGTAATTCATTACTTTAAGAAAATGGAGTAAAAGAAATGGTTATTCTATGCCTAAGTTGTTAAAGTAATGGTAAAGTACATGTACATGTAATGCATTACTTTACCATGTAACTCGCCCCAAGCCTGATCTGACTTATACAAGATTATTAAATGTGTTACTGAATATAGGTTTTTAGGTATTTACTCTGAAATATACAGACATCATTCTTACAAGAAATATCTTTTTTCATAGAATTGATGCTTTCCTAAATATTAGAATTTTGCTTTATTTTATCATGATATGAAACGACCGAGTATTATTTCCATTGTTCTGTATTTTTTTATCCTTTCTATTATAGGAGACCTCTTCTGGTGCGATCGCGCTTCAGGTAAAATTCATTCTTACACATGTTTTTATTTTCCTTCACGTGTATTCGAAATAAAAGAATCCTTTACATTACATCCTTCACATCAATGTGCACTCATTTTCGACATTGAACGCATTCACAGGAAAGAAACATTTTATTGAAAATAAAATTGTATCGACGTTATATCCTTAGATCCATGTTTGGAAGCAAGTTCAACGTCAATGTATCAGGAATATTTGCGTTCTGAAAATTGTCCCCCTAAAAGTGAGCATTACTTATGTGATAGATACCTACAAATCCAATGGTATAAAACAGAAGAAGATTTACTTAGTCATTGTCCATCACTACATTCATGTGGAGCTGAATTTCCATTGTGGATGAATGGTATGTATTATTTGAAGCTTTTTATCTCGAATCTTTTTACATCGATGTATACAAAAACAATTTATTTATTAAAAAGATGTCTTTTACTCGTATTTTCTCATAAAAACATTATGTCTTTCTTTTTGTCCTCATTTATTTTTACTGAAGCCAAAAGCTGTTTTGCTTTAATTAATCGGTACAGGGTGTCAGATGAGAGAAAAACGTGAAAATTACAACCCGTGAAATTAATCCCCTATACAGTATGTGAGTTTTTTAGGGTGTGCAAAAATTCGCTTTTTTTTTCTCAAAGGTATGTAAATATCTTTTTTTGGTGGACACACAATCCCATGTCATTACAAAAGAAGAAAAAAATATCTTTAAGAGGAGTTTTCAGTATTTTTAGCTCACCTGAGCCGAAGGCTCAAGTGAGCTTTTCTGATCAAAATTTGTCCGTCGTCTGTCGTTGTCGTTGTCGTTGTTGGCGTCGTTGTCGTTGTCGTAATCTTTTCACATTTTCATCTTCTCAAGAACCACTGGGCCAATTTCAACCAAACTTGGCACAAAGTATCCCTGGGTAAAGGGGATTCAAGATTGTTCAAATGAAGGGCCACGCCCTCTTCCAAGGGGAGATAATTATGAATTAGTGAAAATTTATAGCATTTTAAAAAAATCTTCTTCTCAAGAACCACTGGGCCAGGAAAGATGAAACTTATGTGAAATCATCCTCAGGTAATGTAGATTCAAATTTGTTCAAATCATGACCCCCGGGGCTAGGGTGGGGCCAAAATGGCCGACCAAAGTTTTACATAGGAATATATAGGAAAAATCTTTAAAAATCTTCTTAAGAACAACTGGGCAAGGAAAGATGAAACTCATGTGGAATCATCCTCAGGTAGTGTAGATTCAAGTTTGTTCAAATCATGACCCCCGGGGCTAGGGTGGGGCCAAAATGGCCGACCAAAGTTTTACATAGGAATATATAGAAAAAATCTTTAGAAATCTTCTTCTCAAGAACCACTGGGCCAGGAAAGATGAAACTCATGTGGAATCATCCTCAGGTAGTGTAGATTCAAGTTTTTTTTTCGATCATGACCCACGGGGATAGGGTGGGGCCAAAATGGCCAACCAAAGTTTTACATAGGAATATATAGGAAAAATCTTTTAAAAATCTTCTTCTCAAGAACCACTGGAATTGGAAAAATGAAACTCATGTGGAATCATCCTCAGGTAGTGAGGATTCAAATTTGTTCAAATCAAGACCCCCAGGGCTAGGGTGGGGCCAAAATGGCCAACCAAAGTTTTACATAGGAATATATAGAAAAAACTTTTAAAATCTTCTTCTCAAGAACCTTTGGGTCAGGAAAGACGAAACTTATGTGGAATCATCCTCAGTTAGTGAAGATTCAAGCTTGTTCAAATCATGACCTCTGGGGCTATTTTTGGGCCCAAAATGGCTGACCAAATTTGTACATAAGGATATATAGGGAAACCTTTTAAAATCTTCTTTTCAAGTACTTCAAAGCCATGATTAGTGATATTTTTCTATTTATATGTAATCATCCTCCCCGGTTAACTTTCAGTTTTGATCTGATATGTGCTTTTTCCTAGTAGATGTGCTCAGGTGAGCGATGTGGCCCTTGGGCCTCTTGTTAATCTAAGTTCTATATCGATTTACACAAGAGTTTGATTAAAACTAATACCAGATAAACGATACATTTTTAAACAACATACAAATTAATGTTAACTTCTTTTATTCTTTCAGGGTCCGCCGTCATAAAACTTTGAGAATTCTCTAAGAAACTCTCAACTCAAGTCTTGAGAATTACTCAGCTGAGAACTTAAGAATAAAACAGAGTTTAAGGAATTTATTTTTCTCAACTTTTTTATGAGTCAGTGAATTTTGGATTTGGGAAAATTCTCAGACTTGAGAGCATTCTCAGACTTAAGTAGGTTTTATAACGGCGGACCCAGAGCTTAAACACATGGGTCCTTAATAAGCGATTAAAAAATTAGCAGACTTCTTCAAAACCTCTTAAACAAACCAAACTAGAGGTACTGTGAGCGATGAGCTCACTAAATGATACCCCCGCCTCCATATAGTTATAATGGCAAAGTCCATGTTTTGCTGTGGCCGTAAAACCCAAAATATGTGTCGGATCTAAACGTAGAATAGAAGGTGCACAATGGCAATATGTAATAAATATTCTGTGAAAGTTTCATCAAAGTTCATTCAGTGGTATGAGAGGAGTTGCGGATAAGAGATGGGTACCCCAAAGCGTAACAGACGGACGAACGGACGTACAGACGGACGGAATTAACGATTACTATATACCCCCCGCTTTTCAAGCGAGGGGTATAAAAAAGCACTCCGTGAAAAATTCCCGCTATACGGTATAGGTGTAAAAATATTTGTTTTCCATCGCGCAAGTATGTTTAGCCTACATCCAGATAGTCTACATGTCTGTGAAATATGCCGTCATAGTAAGCTATATGACATCGACTTTAGGGATCAATTTTCAATAACATCAAAATTTAAAGATTTATTTATGGCCCTAAAATAAATGGGAAAATGCAGTCTCGGTGGTTTTCTTTTAAGCAATTTTAAGCAATGATGAAAACAAACATGAAATGAAGCTAATTCACATCCATCAATAAAATGGCTAAACTCTAACATTATTCAAGCTAACCAAAGGTTGGTGATACCCAATAAACTAATAATTCAGTGTAATTCTTCATGATTCCCTAAAGAATGATGAAAAAATTGACATATAGATAATGTCTATACTGTGAAAAACAAAGTGTTCCTTCTATGAAAGATTTTTTTTATGCAGCAGGGATAATTGTTCAGCATTTGGTTGGATTTGTCAATACATCCCTTTATGTTGTGATCCTGAACAAGCACTAGCACCTTAGTCTTGTAGCCTGACTGTTTGTGTACAGTTTCTTGACAATTTTCAATAATACAGCTTTTATAGATACAAGATGGGGATATAATGGCTAGTCATTGCATTGTTATCTCTCCATTGTACGTACAATTTACACATAGGAAATGTCCTTGTGATGACACCTTTTCAAGCATTTCAATGTCTTTCAAGCAACAAGGTACAGCTTTTTTGTCAACAGTAGGCATAAGACAAATTTCCTCTGAAAGAGATCTTTTATTAAATCGTTAGTGGTACATAAAATGAGTTTATATACATGGTATAAATTTTGTACTCTTGAATGAGGAGTTTCTTACTCTATTCAATCACCACACATTATGTCGACCGTTGGTTCTGTTATTAAGTTCTGTTTTCTCCTTGCAAAGGTAAATTAATTCATAAGCAAAAATGGAATCGGCAAGTTGCTACGAAGATGCATTGGTTTGTCACACATAAGAAACTTTATTTGCAGCAATATTTTTATACAAGGTACATGATGACCAATATCTCCATTGTTTGGACATTCAATACGACATGTAGATCGGAATGCCCACGATTCTGAAATTGAAAATAAAGCAAACCATCCTACTAGATTTACAAATCAGCACAAACATAGACTATTAAAGATACAATTTGGCTCAACTCATTTAAATTGAATACACTTTCGATTCAGTGCCGGTGTAACGTTGAATATTGACCCGAGTTGAAAATTGACCCGGGGGTCATTTTTCAACGTTGAATATTGAACCGGGGTCATTTTTCAACGTTGAATATTGAGACTAAAAGTCGTTGAATTTATACCCGGGGTCATTTTTCAACAGCTTGATAATTTTTTTTCTTACACCTGATGACGTCAACAAGTTGAAAATTGACCCTGTTGAATATTGACCCCACCTCAAAGTTTGAACATTTTTTTAAGCTGGGAAGTTGTTTAACGGGATTTATTAGTATCACTTTATCAATACATTGTAATTCGTTTTCAATTTTTTCCCTTTTAAAGAATAATAGAAATAAACATACAGTATCACCCCGTGTATATATGTACATTTTGATCAGTGTACGGTTTCAGTTATCTTTGCAGGGGCGTAGCAACGGGGGGGGGGGCAGGGGGCTCCCCCCCTTTTTTTCTCAACCTTACCTTTACTATAGCAAATGTTAACTGTAAACCTGGTTGGACCCCCAGTTCCAGTGATGTGTCGATAATGAAGTATTAGAATTGGTACTGAAAGTAGTTGACACTGAAAAAAAGATAGCCTCTACCCCCCCCCCCACCCACCCCCCCCCCTTCCACCCACGAAATATAGGATTTTCGACTTTGGGCAACTTTCAACTCCCCTCCCCCTTTTTTTGCTTGTCAACTTTTCAGGTAAGTTAAAAAAAGTTTTCTCCGGCTGCCCCCCCCCCCCCCCCACTTTCAAAAATGACGCTACGCCACTGCTTCAAGAATGACATCTTTATTTTTGAAAATACTTTCCAAAATCCATGGCATCTATAAAAAATACTACAAAACAACGAATAGGTACGATGGCGTCTGCGTGCCATTTTAACAATGTAGAATTTTTTTTTTAAATCGTTTGAACTATATAAGAAAACGTTTGTGCAATTTAATAAATCGTTTGTACAATTTGTTTGTTAAATCATACGATTTATCAAAATAGTTTGTACGTTTTTTTATAAATCGTTTGAACAATTTAAAAAACCGTTTTTACGATTTAAGAAAACGTTTGTACGATTTATCAAAATAGTTTGTACAATTTAATAAATTGTACAAACTATTTAATAAATTGTACAAAGATTTAATAAACAAATTGTACAAACGATTTATCAAATTGTACAAACGATTTATCAAATTGTACAAACGATTTATTAAATCATACAAATGACTTATAAAATTGTACAAACGAATTATTAAATTGTACAAACGATTTATTAAATTATACAAACGACTGATTAAATTGTACATACAATTTATTAAATTGTACAAACGATTTATTAAATTGTACAAACAATTATTTAAATCGTACAAACCTTTTTTTTAAAATCGTTCAAACGATTTTTTTTTTAAATCTACATTTTTAAAATGGCACGAATACGCCGTCG